GTAAGAATACATGCATTTTGCAAACCCTGAAAGAAAGATTAGAGCAGTAGTTCTCAAACATTTTGGTATCAGGACCACTTCACACTCTATTATTTTTTCCTATTTATCATCTCCCTGCACATTTGTTTTTTACTTTTCATATAAAGTAATTTAGTATTGTATTTTCCTCAGTTAAATGTAAAAGCAATTTTTAACATTCATTTTAAAAATTTTGAATTCCAAATTCTGTCCCTTCCTCCTTCCACACTCCCCCCATTGAGAAGTCAAAGAATTCAACATAGGTTATATATGTGAAGTCATGCAAAACATTAACATAATAGTCATTTTGTAAAAGAAAACAGACCAAGAAAAAAAAACCTCAAGAAAAATAAGAAGGTTAAAAAAGTATGTTTCAAACTATATTCAGACACCATCAGTTCTGTCTCTAGGAATGGATAGTATTTTTCATCATAAGCCCATCAGAGTTATCTCAGATCATTGTGTTGCTGAGAATAGTTAAGTCATCCACAGTTGATCATGTCATAACATGGCTGTTACTTTGTACCCTGTAAGTCTTTCCAAGTTTCGTTTCTCTTTTTTTTTTCTGAGAGCATCCTGTTCATCATTTCTTGTAGCACAATAGTATTCCATCATAATCACATAATCACAATTTGTTAAGCCACAAGCCAATTTATGGGCATTCCCTCAATTTCCAATTCTTTGCCACAGAAAATAGCTGCTACAGATATTTTTGTAAGTACTCTTCACTTTTTTGTTTTTTATTTCTTTTGGGATACAGGCTTAGTAGTGATATTGTCAGGTAAAAGGCCCTTTGGGCCTTTTTATACTCCTTTAGGCATAGTTCAAACTGATCTACAAAATGGTTGAATCCATTCACAACCACACCAATAATGCATTAATGTTTGTTCATTTTTCCCACATCCTCTGCAACGTTTGTCATTTTCCTTTTCTGTCCTATAAGCTGACCTAATAGGTATGAGGTAGTACCTCAGAATTGTTTTAATTTGCATTTCTCTAATCAATAGTGAGTCAGTGCAATTTTTCTTACGGTTATACATAGCTTTGATTACTTCATCTGAAAACTGTTCATATCTTTTGATCATTTATCAATTGGGGAATGGCTCTTATTTTTATGAATTTGACTCCATTATCTATATATTTGAGAAATTGGGCCTTTATCAGAAAAACTTGCTTCAAATTTTTTTTCACCATTACTATTACTAACTGTATTTCCTTCATCCTGTTCCTGTCTCCATTACTGTCTCCCTCTCCTTTCACCCTGTCCCTCTTCAAAAGTGTTTTGCTTCTGACTACCCTGTGCCCCAATCTGCCCTCCCTTCTATCAATGCCCCCCCACTTCTCTTACCCCCTTCCCTTCCTCCTGTCCTATAGGGTAAAATATATTTCTATACCCAATTGAGTGTGTATGTTTTTTTTCCTCTTTGAGCCAATTGTGATGAAAGTAAAGTTCACTCACTTCCCCTTACCTCCCCCTTCTTTCCCTCTACTGTAAATGCTTTTTCTTGCCTCTTTTATGTGAGATAATTTGTTCCATTCTACCTCTCCCTTTCTTCTAGTACATTCCTTTCTCACCTCTTAATTTTATTTTCCTTAGAAATCATCCCTTCATATTCAACTCACACCTATGCCTTCTGTAGCTTGGATATCTTGGGAACATGGTATGCCATTGACAGCAATAAAGAAATTGAAAGGAAGGGAAAGTTTTGGAGGTAAAAATGATGAGTTCTGTTTTGTATTTGTTGAGCTTAAATTGCTAGTGCAACACCAAGATGAAGATGTTCAATAGGCAGTTAGAAATTGTGGCTCAGAATTTTTTTTAAGGAGATCTCTGCAATGAAATGACATTGAAACCTCTAATAGTTTAGTTTATATTTAGAGAAGAGGGCTCTGCTGAGCTTTGGATATCATTCATACTTAGTCTGAAGGAAAAAGAAGGGCAAAAAATGACTGAAAGGAGATGTGAAAATTATGAACTTTTCTCCTTTTTCAAATATTGAACCTCCATTTGCCATATAAGTATTTTAAATGTCTATTTTTATGCATAATATCTATAGAAAATGGTTTACTCTTTTAATTGGTTAGAAAAGTAGCTTGTAAATAATTTTAGAGGGAAGTCAAACATGATGAGATCATTGATCCTGCATGGAGAAAAAGGCTTTTAAAATGTGGTAGGTTGGCTTCTGTACAATAATAATGTTTTGTCCTGCATATAAGCCAGGGAATTGACTAGATGACCTCTCAAGGTCCCTCTGAGTCCTAAGATTCTAGGATTCTATTTGTATTCTAGAAAATATGCATGAATATGGGAATGAAAGTGTTTATGCCCTCAGGTTGTCTTCTGCATTTATAAAAACAAAGCATAGATAACAAAAGACGTCAGGGAATGAATACAATGGAAAAAAGAGAAAAGATGAAAGAACAGGTAAGAACAAAGAAATAGAAGGAAAAAAAATACCACTGAATGGCAACTTTAATCAAAAGGGAAAATCCTAAGTTTCCAAATGACAGCCGTGATTATTCTCTGAAATAGAAAAGAAACATCATAACATACTTGTCTAAATATCTCCAAAGGGAACAGGGAGGAAGATGACATATTTAATCACAAACTACCAGTATCTTTTAGAATCACTATCTCCTTTTGTTAGTCCTTTCATTTTTAACACAAAGAAGTAATGATTTTTTTCCAACTTAGAGAGCAGAACCATCACAGTCTGCTTTTAATAACTTTATTTATACTATTATTCTACAAGGGTATATGACATGCTATAGACTTTCCCTACTTTTGTCAAGGCATACAGCTATCCTTCCTCTTCCTAGAAGATGATCTTCATGGCTCATTGTAGCCAAAACAGTTTATCACGTGGTGGCCCATCTTCTGGTAAAGAACTTTGCCAAATTTACCTAGACTGGTCTTAGAAACTGTCAATCATTAACAAACTCATGCTTAAAGTTTGATAAATCTCTTACTTGGAACAGCCTTTGTTCTGTTTTCCTTTGTGTTCTACTAGGATATCCTGAGAGAACTCATAATCACTTTTCATTATGAGGTATCAAATAGGACTTCAGTATATAACACCAGAGACTTAACTATTTTTGGAGTGTGCCGAAGAACAACTCATTTAGTCAACACCACAGCAGAACAATCTCTCCCCACAATCCCTTTTCATCTGGAAAGAGCCAAGCATTTCCAAAACTCAAAAAAAGGAAAGTTCAAAGTCATACTGTTGAAAGGAAAACTCATTGTTTGGGCTTCCACACTGATTGATGAGGCAAAACTCAGGACAAAGAGAATTAAAAGGGTTTTTATTATAAGTAAGTCAATGTAGCAACACATTGATAATGTGATCACTGAGATCAGCAATAGCTTCAAGGTAGGGACAGCTTTTGTAAGTGACCTTATGTTGATCCAGATAACCTCAGTTAAAGAAGTGGGGCCCCTGAATCTCACTTCCTCCCCAAGGTAGCAAGACTGACAGTTTGCAGGTAGGGGTATGGAGGAAGAGCAGGTGATATAAAAACTACAGACTTGGTGTCTCCTTCCCCACCAGAGCTTCCCCTTGATAAAGAAGGCTGAGAACAATGGGTAATTGAGTCACCATAGCTTTTAACAATACCACCATGCTAGATCTATGCCCCTCCCCCAAAATGGAAGGCTTCATTTAGGCCATTTCCTCTATTACTATATTATATTACTATATTAACCTTTAATTTGAAAAGGAAAAGGAGAAAATTTTTTTCCCCAAGCATTTCACCCTACCTGCCACTAAAATGAACTGTGAGGTTACCCTGACTAGTCCCAGACCAGGTCAAGTCAACTTTATTGGAGGTAATTGAACAAAACTAGAACTCTGAAAGGAAACTCCCAAGGTGGATATTTGAGATAATTCCCTCTACACTTCAAACAGGGAAGTGTCAAAGGGGTCCACACTCCCTGCCTCACTAGTTACAGGCTGGCCTCACTCTTCCCAGAGAATCAAACCATCTATTAAACAACAGATCTTCTTGGGACTCTGGAAGAAACTTGCAAAGTAATGATACTACAAGCTAACCTCTCTCACAAAATATCTATAAGAATTCACTAAGTGTCTGCTACATACCAGACATTGTGCTAAGCTCTAGGGACACAAATAAAGGCAAAGATAGCCCCAGACCTAAAAGAGCATACAATCTAATGTGAGGAAACAATATGCAAATCACTACCTACAAACAAGATACATATGGGATAAACTGGAAAAAAATCTCAAATGGGAAAGCACCAACATTAAGGAGGCTTAACACAGGCTTCCACAAGACCTTGAATTGCAAGCGCTCTCCCCAAACAAGGCTACCTTCACCTCCATCAACCACTAGACATGGTCATTCATAGCCCAGACACCATAAGATGTTCATCTACTTTCTTAGGGATTCTTAACCTTTTTTTGAGTGTGTCGTGGATACCATAGGAAACATAGAGAGGCTGGTGACCTTCTTCTCAAAATAGTGTATTTAGAGGCATAAAAATAAAATGCATAGTATTACAAAGGAAATCAATTATATTGAGAAGCAATTATTAAAATATTTTAAAAATCAAGTCCTTGAAACCCAGGTTAAGTGCCTGTGAGTGTCCTTCAGGTCTGCATGAGGCATTCCATTTTGGTTACATTGGTTTCCACATCTGGTCTAGTCCCCATTCTGATGTACATGGAAGACAAAGGTACAGGGTCTGGGTGATTAACTTTGTCTTAAGTGAGGCAGCAACAATTGTTCTCTATTCCCTTCAGCATCACCTGATATACTATACTCTCCAGAAGACCCTATAACTCTTGACCTGGTAATATGATTAAGATAAAGATTTTTTTTTTATCTTTTTAGGTGCACCTGTATCCTTATTCCTGGAAACCTGCCACACCACACCTAGTCATCTATCTACTCCAACACTTATTTTTTTTTTATACTGGACATTTTTTTATTGTAGGTGGAGTGCAATAGCTGGACACAGATTAGATGATTCCAATTTTGTTGGCAACATCTAAAGCGTGATAGTCTGGAGCAAGTTGGACAGAGGCCTTCTCTCCATCAGGCCAGATCAGCATGTTAACCTCGGCCACTTCGATGTCACACTGCTTGATCTGATGCTTGTTGGCTTTGACATCCACAATGAAGACCAGAGTGTTATTGTCCTCAGTCTTCTTCATAGAAGACTCAGTGGTCAAGGAAAACTTAATAATGGCATAGTGATCAAACTCGTTCCTGCAAGGGGCACTTTTCAGAGGGTACTTGGGCTGCCGTCAAAGTCTTAGTGTCTTGGGTCGTAGGAATGTGGGGGATGTTTGGATCTTCTTTTCGTGGCTATAAACACCTTTCAACACTGCCTTCTTGGTCTTCAAGGGCTTGGACTTAGCTTCTGTCTTGGGGGAGATAACTGCTTTCTTCTTCGCCTTCAGTGCCAGCAGGGGGAAGACTACTCTAGCACTTCTTAAGTGTAGGTCGCAACCAGGGGCGGGACCCACTGAGAAGCACTGAAGGGGTCAGGGAGTGGAAAAAGTTTTAAAAGCCTTGATCTACCCTATATCTATGCATTTCTAGCTGCTCATCTGTATTGTGAATTCTGTACACACTGCCCTTCTTTCCCAACTACCCAAGGTGAAGCCAAAGATTCAACCATCTTCAGCCTGGGAGCAGCATGACTATCCTAGGTTTCTTCTATTTTTGCTAATCCTAATTGACCAAAAGCAGCAGTGTTGGCCCAACCATACATAATCAATATCCTTAAATCCCCTTCTTCCTAGCTAATGCTGCCTCCAAGCATTAGAAATACTCCTAATGTATCTTCAGTTGTTTTCTTCTTCTCCTGAGCTCTAATGGTTTGTGAAACAGATTCAGTAGAGTACGATTGTCATACTGCATAAAGTTCTACTAGCATTGTCTTCCTCACCCGTGAGGGCCCCATTTTCCCTACAACACTGAAACAATGAATTCTTGAGCAATGGACTCTGTAACCTTCTTGTACCTGTTCAACTTCATATCATAATGATTTATTAAATGAGAAGCTCTGCAGAGAAGTGAGGAAAAACAAAATTTGAAGTAGAGCCAAAAGGAAAACTAAATATGAATTCTAGACATAACCATTGTGCCATTCTGGAAAGATCATTCAATTTCATTGAACCTCAGTTTCCTTAATTGTCAAACATGACGCATAGTAGCAAAAGGGATAGAGATATGGCATTCAAATCAGAAAACAACCCAGTTTTGAACATACGACATCAGGTTCTTTCTGTGACACATGTTAGCTGTGTGATTCTGAACATTTACTTGATTTTCGAGCGTTCCAAGTAATCCTTGAAGTAAAAAAAAAAAGAGAGAAAAAAAGCTTCTTTTCTTGGCAATGAACTTGAAATTTCACTGGTATAGGGAACTCCCTTTACCAATGAAGGTTAACATACCCTCTGCTACTTACAGTCCTAGAGAGTTGCCCAGAGCACTAAGGTTAAGTGACTGCCCAGCTTCATACATCCGTTATGTAACAGAGGCAAAACATAAAACTAGGTCTTACTGACTGTAAGTCTAACTCTCTATCCACCACCATTCACTGTCTATCAATACTATCTTATGAATAAGTAGTTTAGCTCCATTTGATGGAGGGCATTTTTACATTAGAAAGTCATAGGTTTATACCAAAAACGAAGGTTGAAATGAGGACAATATTTATATTAATAACCCGACTTGTTTAATGTTATCACACCTATACATCCTAGGGATATATTGTTTTTTGGTTCTTTTTTTCCTCTATTTCTCAAGTTAACAAAGCCCAAAAACCAAAATTATCTGGTAGTCCACCTTCCTCCGACAAGTATTTCTTATCTTAGTGGGAGTTGGTCCTTGAATGTCATTAGTTACTAGGGCTGAAATCAAAGCACTTCTAGCTTGCTAGTATCAGTTAAAGCCGGTGTTCTGCTGGCATCAGTATCCCTTAGATACTAAAAGAATAAGGAGGAAGGCCTCCAGGGTAGTGGGTAGATCCATGGGTGTGCTGATAATTTTTTTTTAAAAAGCTCTCAAAGAAAAAAAAAATGTGCAAGACAAAATTTCAAGTTTCACCTGCATTAATAACATTTTCTCTATCACTTTCTTAAATTTGGACAATAAAAGAAATACAATAAATCAAACCTTAATTCATCATGTTTGCTGAATTCCAAGGTGTAAATGCTCATACTTAAAATTTAACATTTGGCTCATGGCTACTGACTCTAGTACACCCCTGGCTGGATCCTATATGGAGGGTTCATGAAAAGATATGAAAAGAAATCCAAGAAATTCCACAGGATGGGAAGACATAGAGGGGTTGCTATGTGAACAGGTGAATGGGAAATCTTCAAGGAAATCATGGCCCCATTGGAGGATAAAGTAGAAAGCAAAAATTAAAAAAAAAACCACAATCACTGAATGGGAGGTAATGGGGTACCATGGAAAGATTATTAGGTTTGGAAGCAGACAACCTAGGCTCATAACTATATCCTGTCACATACCTACTTCTGTGAACTTGGGCTAAATTGTTTCATTTCTCTGAGCCTCAGTTTCCCCATCCATAAAATGAGGGGATTAGACTAGATGGCTTCTGGGGTCTCTTTTGATGATAGTTCTACTGCCCCATGATGTTATGTACCTGTATAAAAATTATTGGGGCTAACACTGAATCTGGTTATTTGGAAAACCTTAAATCCAATAATCCTCCCTTGCTCCAATTTTTATAGGGAACTTCCTTAAAGAAAAATAGTAATGGTAACTCTTTTCTATGGTGCTTTTAATTTTACAAAGCTCTTCTGCCATACTGACATATGAAGTTGATGTCTCCCCTGTGAATGGCAGAGGCTTTACCTAGGAAGAGTGTTGCCTGATTAAAGAGCACTAAATACTTATGAGTCTGTAATAAATACTATTTTATGAGGCCTCAGATATGGAGAGTTTATGTTGATTAAGTGTTTAAGGGTTCAAGGAATGTAATGAGTGCTATTACCAGTATGAAAAATTATACAAATCCATTTTGCAATAAAGCTTTAAAGCAAACAGATTCCCTAAATACTATATGCATTAGCACGTAAATAAATGAAAACTGTTAATTTACAAACTGAAATATTAAATAGCATTGCAGCAAAGATAAAGTGATATGTTAAAAGTTAAAGGTCAATTGCAAGTTAACTGAATTTAACTAGGACTAATGATTCTTGAAAACTCTTGGTAATACTGCTCTAACTTCAGCATTCATCTTAGATAGCAATATGCAAGTTTACAATTGTGCACAGGCCTGAAGTTATTCTGAAAAGCTTTCCCACCAGCAAGGCCCAAAACGCCTGGTGGGGACTTCATTTTCAGGGTCATTTTCATGGGCTCCTGGCCCAGCAGATTTGATCTATAAATCAGACTATATCTTGTGGACTCCTTTCGTGCAAGGCCTCTGAGAATGAACAAGATTTTGGAGTGGGCCAAAGGAGACAACCTTTCCCTGTAAGTAATCTTTCAAGTCCCACACTCGTACCTTTCTCCGATGTACCTGCAAACCTAGAATGTGCATTGTCTTCACTTCCTCCTCAGGAAATTCCTAGCTTCTTTCTAAACATAACACAGATGCCACCTTCTCTTTAAGGCCTTTCCTGACGACTTGAGGTAGCATTTTTCTCTTCCTCATGAAATAATTTTGTGTAACTTTGTATGTATCCTATATATACTTCAGTACATATTTTATTCTCTCTCACCTTCCTCTTCCCCACCCCCAAGGCGAACTTCTTGAGAGTAGGGACTATTTGACTTTGTTTCCTGAGCACTTAAGACAGTACTTTGCTGGTAGGTTATAGATACTTAATAAACGCTTGTCAAATTAAATTGACAAAGCAACATATTGCCTCCCCTCTCCAGTAGTGTGTGGACTTTGAAGTGCCACTCCTACCTGGGGACTTTTATTCCCCCGTGTCTAGGAAGATGTGTTGCTAGAGGAGAATCTGTCCTAATCAAAAACCATTATAAATGAATTAAGGGTTCCCAGAATGTGTAGCCTGCTGGAATACATCACTATTATATATCACCAAGAGGAAAACACAGCTAAGATACAATAATAGTTCAGCACAACACTCTTTGCCCATCTTATTGCTTAACTGTATTCCCCAAGCGGCAAGCCTATTACATTTCCAAAAACACTCCAACATGCTAAAGCTAAAGCTGTCGTTCTTCTTTTAGCTTGTGAAGTCAGGAGAAAGGGGATGATATGATTGAACCTTAGTATTGTATTTCTTTCCGTCTTTCTGAAGGAGATTCTTGCCCTGATTGCATTCTTCAGAATATACACATACAAAATTCTATTCAACAAACAAACATTTATTCTTCCTGCAACACAAAGTCAAAAGATCACTCTCCACCAGGAAAGAAGGGGGAGGAATGTTATTTAGGACTGAAAAACCATCCGATTTCCCTACTTATTTTGTCTGAAGAGTGTACTCAGAGATAAATCTTGGGGCTCAGGTTGGGAAGCTTAACAGAACCTTGAATCTTCAAAAATGAGATCAGCATTTTTTTTTATTTCCTCCAAAGGCCCTACTAACCTAGATCAAGCAGAAGCTCATTAATGGGAAAGAATTAGACAGCTCTGTCACGTTATTGGATGGTTCTTAGCTTACCTGTTTAAAAGATTAATGCGAGTGTGCTGCGAAAACATTGTACTTTTGAAAATAATAGTAATAATTCAAAGGCCTCTTACAATTAAAAACTGCATTGCCTACAAAGAAGTTGCTTTGAAAGTGTCATTGGGAATGAATCCATCTGTTTAATTTCTTCTCAGGGTATGTTCTGCCCCCCTCCTCACATTTATGTTTATCAGCTGGAGGACTGTTCTTGGTGAGGCAGAAGTCAGTACGTATCACTTCCAAAATAGATATCAATAATATTAATATCATCAATATTAATAATTATAACTATCATTTACAGAGTGCTTCAATGTTTGCATTGTGTTTTACATGTTTTTGTATTTTATTTGATGTTATCTCAATAATAGCTAATATTTATAAAGCACTTCAAGATTTACAAAGCACGCTAATATTAATAAATAAAAAACAGGAAGATTAGAGATAAAAGTTTTAAAGAAATATTGAGAAATTCCTAGGGGATCACAGATTAGTGGTCTGTTCAAAAAGCGAAGTTGGAAACCTAGAGAGGATGACAGAAGCAACTGTAATCTGGGTACCCTCACTAATAGTGTTACCCATATTCAAAGTCATTCAACATGAAGCCAGCTTGCTAAATTACTGAAGGACATACAGGTATCATGATTTTAGCCTCCATGCTGGATTCATATTACCCTCTGTGATTTTTGATGAGTTTTTTTTTCTTTCTGCCAATTTTCTATAACATGAACTCTATTGTTTGCCTGATTCAGGTTGACATTGTTTCCTCTTTCCAAGGTTACGTGCCACTCAAGTGTGTCAAATGAAGGTGGTGTTTCATGCAAAGGAAAATAGTGTGATAATGAAGAATG